CTCGAACTCACAGAGATCCACCTGCCTCTGCCTCCCAAGTTCTGGGATTAAAGGCATGCACCACCAACGCCCGGCCTGTTTCCTCTTTTATAATGTGTCTGTGGTTGCATATCTGATGGGGGAGGTCTTTCTATGTATACGTTTGTCTTATTGGTTGATAAATAAAGTACTGTTGGCCATAGAGAAGCAAGTTAGGTGGGACTAGGAATCGAGGAGGATTCTGGGAAATGTATTAAAGAGAAGTCTTGTGATCCAGGAAGGAAGTGACATAGCAGGCAGACTCCGAATATAAGCAGGGACAAGCAGGAAATTGTTCTCTTCCTCCTCCTCTCTTCTCTGTGGAGCTACCATGTGAACCCGACAAGAGAGGATGCATGTCACCCGAGTCCTTGATTAGATAAGTCTTTATAAATATATAGATTAATAATTATGGTTGATACTTAAGACAGAGATAGCAGATAAGAAATTCTAGTTATTGGTCAGCAGCACTGTAATTAATATAAAACTCTGTGTGTTATTTCCGGCGCCCATGTGATGGGGGTGCTCAGGTGGCTTGGTGGAAAGAGTTATCATTACACATATCTGTTATTTGTGTTCTGGAAAAACACATATTGGTTGGTTGTTCCAGAAGCAAAATTGAAATTTTAAATAAAAATTGAGCAGGATAGTAGTGGTGCACACCTTTAATCCCCACACTTGGGAGGCAGATTTCAGTGAGTTCAAGGTCAGCTTGGTCTACCAATTGAGTTCCAGGCTAGCCAGGGTACACAGAGAAACCCTGTCTCAAAAACAAAACAAACAAAAACAAAAAAATGGGGGTGGAGAAATGTCTCAGTGATTATGAGCACTGGCTCCTTTTTCAGAGGTCTCAATTTCCAGCACCCACATGTTGGCTCACAACCATCTGTAATAGGATCTGATTCTGTCTTCCAGTGTGCATGAAAACACATCACTTATATACATAAAATAATTATCTTTTAAAAACACCAAAAAGAATCTAGCTATGGGATTTTCAAGTGTGATTTTATAAGTGTAGTTTCCCCTCTGTTATTTTTGTTGGTTTGTTTGATTGGCTTTATTTTGTTTTGCTGTTCATATGGGATCTCACTAAGGGCTGGTCTGGAACTGTATGTAGAAGACCACACTGGACTCAGACTATCGACATCCTGCCCAGTTTCCCCTTTGCCTTTGGATTCCCAAAACTATCTCCAGACCTGGGTGTGGCAGCCCATGCCAATAATCTCAGCACTCAGGAGGCTGAGGTAGGATTGCTACCAGTGCAAGCCCACTTGGTCTACAAAGTCAGACTCTGTCTAAAAACACAAACAGGCTTGAGAGATGACTTAGCAGCTAAGAGCACTGGCTGATCTTTCAGAGGCTCCAAGTTCAAGTCCCAACACCCATATAGTGGCTCACAATTGTTTCTAACTCCAGTTCCAGGGGATCTGATGTCCTTTTTCTGGCCTTCACAGGTACAGGGCACAAAAGTGGTTAGTATACAGATATACATGCAGTCAAACATACATATAACGTTTTTTGAAAAAAAAAAAGTTGTTTTTTGGTTTTTGGTTTTTCAAGACAGGGTTTCTCTGTGTAGTCTTGGCTGTCCTGGAACTCGATTGGTAGACCAGCCTGGCCTTGAACTCACAGAGATCCCCGTGTCTCTGCCTCCCAAGTACAGAGATTAAAGGCTTGCACCACTACCACCTAGCTTGAAAATGGTTAAAAGAAAAACAAAACAAAACAAAACCCTATCTCTGGGCTCCACTGAGTATGTAAAACACTTGGTCAGTGTCATTTGGAATCCCAACTGGAAGCAGCCAGGAGCACAATGAGCCTATGGTCACAATGTCAGCTTTGGTCTGGTGGCCACTTGGCAGATCCTTCTGTGTGCTCCATCAGGTGTGAACACTCAGAGCAACATATTGTATCCACACAGGGATGGCAGGGTGATCCTGGAGGTGCATCCTGTGGGAACTTGTAGCTATAAAATCAATGCTGGTTTGTAGCAAGTTGACTCTGGTCAGTCACCCAAGTCCCCAAGGCCTGAAGTTGTTCTCTCAGGAATCAAACCATGAAGCTGTGCTGTCCCTCTTTTAGGCCACTGTCCCTACCCTTGATGATCAGATAGCAGGCTTGGACCTCCTGGGTATTGTGTCATTGGAGAATTATTTAGTTACTAGGGAGATGAGACTCTGTTCCACAAATGTCCCGGGGAGACAGTGTGGCTTAGCTTTCTGAGACACAGCTTGGTGCCCTGCAGCTGTCTTATCTGGACCAGGGAGGATTGGTATTGCATTTCATGCCAATCTATATGTACAGAGGAAAGCATGGCATGACAATGTGAGAAGGAGATATCTCCAGTTCACTGTGTTTGTTTCATTGTTTGGTGCTGGCCCCTGAGATCATGCTAAATATGTCTACTACTGAGCTACAGCCCCTCCCTCGTTACTGTTCATTTGTCTTTTAAGACAACAATCCAAGTGCACACATCTAACCTCAGCATTTAGGAGGCAGAGGTAGAAGGATCTCTGTGAGAGCCAAGCTAGGCAATGACACAGTAAGACCTCTCTCAAAAAAAAAAATCTTTATGAGTGTTCTTTCTTCACAGTGACATTTTCCTCTGTGAGGTGAAAGTGATGGTTAGATTGGTCCAAAATCTTAATTATACTGAGGCTTAAAAAGAATTCAGGCTGAGCCATGCGGTAGTGACACACATCTATAATCCCAGCACTCGGGAGGCAGAGGCAGGCAGATCTCTGTGAGTTCCAGACCAGCGTGATCTACAGAGCTAGTTCCAGGACAGCCTCCAAAGCTACAGAGAAACCCTGTCTCGATAAAAACAAACAAACAAAAACCCAACCAACCAACCAACCAACCAACCAACCAACCAACCAACCAACCAAAGAATCCAGGTTGTTTCACCTTTCACCTGGCTTTCTGTTAGCATGTGGTCTCAGTGACACAGCTGATAGACATTTTTGGTAACTCACAAACACCATTAGACACAGACAACCCTGGTTAAAATCAGTGAGTCCCAAAGCAAAACAAAATGACATGAATGTGGGAAAGGACCCTGGGTTGGGGGAGATGACACAGTGGGAGAGATGTGAGAGGGTAGAAGAAGAAATTGAGCCTCAAGGAGGAAATGACATGCTCATCAAATCACCAAGGAATTGTGGGTAGAGCCCAGCCTGACCCCAGAGCCTGTGATTTCATCCTCTGCTCTGAACTGCCAGCAGTCTCAGGGCTTCTGTGACAAGATGAAATAAATGTTAAGGAGATAGACTGGGGCTCTGTGCGGGAAAAGAACTGACCATTCAAGGTGTTCTTTCGGTGTGCGTCCAGAAGGTGAAAATACTCTATCAAGGCCTTCACATTTCTCAAAGACAACAAGCAGTAAATTTTGTCCAGGTAAAGGTACCACAGAAAAGACCCTTGCTTCAGTATCATCTCAACAGCTTTTGGCTGTAGGTCCTGGCAACCTGACAACGGAATGACAATTCCGCCCCAGAACTAGAATGTTGGACAGGTCCCTGAGATGACCCGACAGACCTAGAGAGGACAATAAGAATGAATGAATGGCTTCTCACAGTTCTCTGGCTTTGATGTGGGTGTTTTCTATCTGACTTCTAGACCAGGAGGGGCCACTTGAGCCCAGTGCCAAAGCAGCTCTCTGGGCCACCTAGACAATATGTGCCTATTAGGAAGGGAAATGGAAACACACACAAGAGTACTAAGAGAGGAGCCGGGCGGTGGAGGTGGTGCATACCTTTCATCCAGTACTGGGGAGGCAGAGGCAAGAGGATCTCTGTGAGTTTGAGGCCAACCTGGTCTACAGAGTGAGTTCCATGACAACCTGGAATGAGTTCCAGAGAAATCCTGTCTCAAAAAAAAAAAATGAAAAAAAAAAAAGAAAAAAGAAAAAGAACTGAGAGAGCCTCGAACAGGTATACTAATATAAAGTCAAAGGGAAGGCATTTATGTCCACATAAATGTTTAGGTTACATAATATATATAGTAGTATACTTATTATACATATATAACATACGCACATTCCTATGAAGAGAGGGATTGTCTCACTATCAACATCCTAGCCCTCCTGGTGTTCACTACATAGACCTTGAACTCAGAGATCTGCCTGCCTCTGCCACCCAAATGCTGGGATTAGAGGTGAGTACCACCACTGCCCTACTAAAAAGGAATACTTTGGTTTTTTGTTTTTCGAGACAGGGTTTCTCAGTCTCACAGAGATCGACTGTGCCTCTGCCTCTTGAGTGCTGGTGTAGAGAGCCAGAAGCCATACAGGATGTCTGACTAACACAGTAACCACTGTTTTTCTTCTCTCTTCCATGATGGACTGTTTCAGGCCTATCCAAAGGGAAACAGATTAATAGGCTCAAGCTTCATGCTCCCGTCATTCAGGTCAACAGTTCAGACCAGTTCCAGCTCATCCACATCCATTCAGCCCCATCATAGTTCCTGCGTTATTTGGAAGCAAGTCTCAGACAAAACCGCTAATGTGCAAATATTTGGGTATATATTCTAAAGAGCATGAGTCTTCAATGTTATCACACCCATAGAGAGTCATCTAACACCCTCAAATACCAAGTCAGCATTCAGTTTCCCTAATTGTCTCTTAGAAGTCTGAAGAGCTACTTCAGTCAGATCTATGCATCATTTACCATGATCTATGCATCATTTACCATGTTTCATGAGTCATTTCAGTTTTAAAACATGTATGTTTCTTTTTCTTACAATTTGTGTTTTTAAAATTGGATTGGTTATTGTGTGAATGTGTAGGTGTGCATGGCACTGGTCTTCCCCTCCAGATCACAACACTCCATTCACATTTGGTTTTCTGTCTGTGTGCATAATATGTGCATTGATATATGTGTACATGTGATGGACATATGTGTGCATGCACTTAGTTCTCTCTGACCTTATAAATCATGGGAACCTCTGATGTTATAACTGATTGGTAAAAATCCCAGAAGACACCCTGAACTTATGACTAGAGTGTGCCAAGGGTGAAGCAATCTTGTGGGATGGCTCCCTTAAGCTGTGGGGTCTATGCTAACTCCCAGTGTCAGAATTAAACTGACTTTGTAGGACACCCCAGGGGTGTCTGCAGAGAATTGGCTGATGTAGCAAAACCTCCTACACATTTAGTAAAATTAAAGGCAGAGTAATAGGAGAATAGCACATTTATTTATTTGTTTACTGTATTTTTTTGTTTGTTTGGTTTTTTGAGACAGGGTTTCTCTGTAACTTTGGAGCCTGTCCTGGAACTCATTCTGTAGACCAGGAAGGCCTCGAACTCACAGAGATCCGCTGTCTCTGCCTCCTGAGTGCTGGGATTAAAGGTATGTGCCACCACCACCAGGCTGTTTGTCTTTTGAGACAAAGTATAGCCCTGGCTGTCCTGGAACTCTGTAGGTTGGCCTTGAACTCAGAGATCTGCCTGCCTCTGCCTCCCAATTGCTGGGATTAAAGGCCTGCTCCACTACCTCCTGGATATTTTTTGGTTTTTGAGACAGGGTCTTGCTGCCCCTCAGTCTGCCTGGAGCTCACTGTGTGGCTCAGGCATTGCTTCCTGGAGGCTGGGATTACAGGAGAGCACCATCATGACTGCTTGTTAAATTGTATGTGGATGGGAGTGTTCATAAGGAAATGTAGATCCAAAGAAACAGCGTATCTGTGTGATCTTTAGGCTTGGTGAAGAATGGAAACTCACTTGTAGGATGTGTGGCTAGAGGCCAGAAAGGACTATCTAATGGTTGTAAATATCCTATTCTCAGCCTTTATCCTTTTAAATATGCTGCTAAAACCTTTATCCTTTCCTTCAAGGACAGGGAAGGGACTCATTGGATGAAGGTCAACAGAGGGACATATTTTGAGGTCCTATGTCCTGAGCTCCATCATTTCCATGCAATGACTCTGACACCATGTGTTTGCATCAGCTTTATTCATAATAACCAGATGGATAGAACCCAACACCAACTGCCCCTCAGCAGTTGAATGTTTTAATAGTGATGGTATATCCACACAGTAGAATTCTACCTGACAATAAAGATGAATTAATCATGAATACATTCGACACAATTAATCTCTGAAACATGCTGGGTTGAAAGACGCTAAACACAGGCTGGTGTATGGCTCCTGACAGAGCACTTACCTGGCATGCACAAGGGCCTGGGTTTAATCTCCAGCACTTGGGGGAGGGGGTAAAGTTTGCAAGGAGTGGAATGAGAATTGCCTGAAGAGGCAATGGAGATGTTCTCTACCCTGACTGTGGTGGCAGCCTCATCTTGGCAAAACTCACTGAACAGTGAGCCTTAAGGGGTGCATTTCTATTTAATGTAGATGAAACGTCAATGAACTTGATTGTTGTTCTTTTAAGACGGCGTTTCTCTGTGTAGCCCTGGGTGGTCTGGAACTTGCTCTGTAGACCAGGTTGGCCTTGAACTCAGAGATCCACCTGCTTCTGCTTCTGTATTGCTGGGATTAAGGGCATGCACCACGAATGGCCTACATTGATTTTTTTTTTTTTTTTAATGTTTATGGGTGTTTTCCTACATATATGTCTGTGCACCACATGCATGCAGTTCCTGAAAAGGCCAGAAGAGGGAGCATGTGAGACCACATGGAGCGGGTGTAACAGATGCATAGGTGCTAGGTATGTACTCTTCCTCCGGAAGGGTAGTCATTGCTCTTAACCACTGAGCCATCTCTCCACCTGGGTGTGTAGTTCTGTCATATGGTCCCTGTGTTCAAGGTCCAGTTCAATCCTCAGTAACAGGGGAATACCCATACTCACATGAAGATAAAAGCAGATTTGAATATATCAATAGTTCATAGTTGTTCATAGAAGACACCATGAGCAAAATTAACACATGGATGAAGGGTTGAGAGGAAACATTTTCAATATTGAAACCCAACAGGATAGTATTTTTTAAAATTCAGGTCCAGTGAGATGGTGCAGTAGTGCCTGGGGGGCCTGAGGACCTGAGTTAATCCTCAGGACCTACAGAGTAAGAGGAGAGAACTTTTTGTTTGTTTGTTTGGTTTTTGTTTTTTTTTTTTTTTGAGACAGGGTTTCTCTGAGAGCTTTGGAGCCTGTCCTGGAACTCACTCTGTAGACCAGGCTGTCCATGAACAAGAACTAACTCTTAAAAGTATCCTCTGACCTCCACATATGTATGCATGCCCTTGTAACTCTCACACACATACACAAATGCACACATCTCTCTCTCTCTCTCTCTCTCTCTCTCTCTCTCTCTCTCTCTCTCTCTCACACACACACACACACACACACACACACATTCATAACACCATGAATGCACACACAAATAAACAGTATAATTCCTAGAATCAAAAAAGACAGGAAATCTGATTTTTTTTTTAATGTGCAAAGAGTGGGGCTTGGTGGTGTACACCTATAATCCCAGCACTTGGGAGAGGTAGGTGTATCTCAGTGAGTTCGAGGCCAGCCTGGGCTACAAAGAGTTCCAGGACAGCCAAGGGCTAAACAGAGAAACCCTGTCTGGAAAAACAAAATAAACAAACCCAACAAAAATGGCAAAGGACACAGACCCTCAATTCAAAGAAAGCTTCTAATAAAACTATGCAAACTCACTGGGCACACACCTTTAACCCAAGTACTTGTGAGGCAGAGGCAAGCAGATCTCTGAGGAGGCCAGCCTGGTCTACAAAGTGAATTCCAGGAAAGCCAGGGTTGTTACACAGGAAAACCATGTCTCGAAACAAACAAACTAAAACAACAAAACTATGCAAACTCAGACTCAGTAATTGAGATCTATACATCAAACGCACTATTTATCGAGCTTAACAGGAATCGATAATTTCTATTTTAAGTGGTTCCAGAAAGTAGGGTGGGGGAAGGCCTCAACACTCCGACCTTCTTCATTCGTCACCAGGTCGCTGTGAGGCCCTGTAACCAGAGACAGATGATTTAAGGTAAATTTCAAAGTAGCTTTGGCTCTGTTGAACCTCCTTTTATTGCTGCATTTTTATACGTAATTTACATACTCCTCCCAAACCTTACAAAAACAAAAGTCACACTAGTGATGTGGGAAAGGTTTCCCGAGTTGTGGAACTGTCACTGTAGTCGTTTCCTGGCATTTTCAACACTCCAGTGAGATTCCGCATCGCTCTTTCCAGCCAGTCCCCTTGTCTGGAAGCCAACCCCTAACCAGCTGCTATCCACAGCTTTGCCTTTTCTGGACCGGTCACACAAAAGCAGTCATACCTCATGCAGTCTTTGAGTCTGGTTTCCTTCACGTAGCATGACATTTTTGAGGGGATCTTTCTATTTTTATTCTCACTTTGTTTTCTTCTGGAGCTCCCTGGACTGGTCAGCGCATTCTGACCCTCTACCTACCCGGTATAGCTGCACAGACTTCAGCGGGTTCCTCGGAACCCAGTGACAGACCTATCCTTTGGCTCTTTCACAGGCTGACTCAACGAGAGCAGTTTTGCGTGACATTTCTTTCTTTCAATGATAAAATTTCTCCACATTCATTCAGTGGCTGGAACAATCGAAACTGGGGCAGCCTTTATTCGGGGCGCCCTTTGCACGATCCCCGGGGCATCGCATTCACTCTCCAGCCGGCTTTCCTAGTGGGAAACCGCACTTGGCGCTTGCGCGCGGCTCCAGAGATATTTTCGAACAGAGTCCCAGGGAAGGGGAGCAGCAGTCTAAATGCTTTCTCGAGGGCAGGGTGTCCTAGTGTGAGACTCATTTGTTCAGCTGGAGGATCACCATCACAGGCCCTGCAGCTGCTTAGCCCGCAGCACAGTGCGCTAGAACCCGTGTCCTGATACCAAGGAAAGGTGCCACAGCTAAGGTAGAGAGACCAGGGGGTCCCGCAGCCAGGATGGAGAAGTACGGTTTCCGATTTTATCTCTAGAGGGGCTTTTTATTATTATCATTATTATTGACAGAACTATAAAGTTTTACTTATTAAGGAATATATCTGCTACCCTACCCCGAAGCCTAATAGGTCCTAAAGGGACTCTGTTTCTTGTTCTGAGTTCTGGTCCTCTGTGGCTGGCGGGGGCCAGGAAAGGCCTGGGTTGGGGGGCGCGCCGCCGCAGGGCTCTGCCTTCTGTGCGCTTGGAGGCAGCACCGAGCTTGGGACCCGGGTAGGAAGCGGCGTGAAGGCAGCCTGGGACTCGCGTGAACCCTGGGGCCAGGAACTCCGAGGACCTGCGTGAATCACCGGGCGAGGGGCGCAGGCGTCCCGCGCGGGAAAAGAGCGAGCCAGGCCGCTGTAGGCACATTCTACGCACCGACGACGA